TCAACAGGCCTGTCTGCACACTCACCTATTTTCCAAGTCAAAACTAAAAATAGCACACGGTTGCCTCATAGTACAATTAAAAACAAATGTTGGAAGATTCATGGGACTCTCCATCAACAATAATAAACACATGACGGCCTGGTTAAGAATATATATTTCTTTCTCAGAATTATGCCCTTGCCAGGAATCTTTCAACACAGGGGTTGTTTCTGTATCCATGCTGAAGATCAAAAGGCCTTTGAGGGAGAAACTATACGGAAGGATGGCTTTTTGTACAGAACTGAGCACACTACTATCATTTGAGAAAACCACTGTTATCTGAGAGTAAGGACAGAAAAAGAAAAGCTTCCATATTTACTACAGTCTCTTAAGAACCTTCTAAGCTTTTTGTTCCTACTAAAAGTTGGTAGCTTGTCCCAGCCATCCCAAACGCTTTGAACAGGGTAGGGGTAGTAAATGAGTCAGCTCATTTACCAGCAGATCACAGCCTTCAAAAACAATTATACAGAAAACCAGTTACAGAACACTTGGACTATAGGTGAAATGGCTAGCAAACACTAACGCCCACCAACTTCTCAAGTCACAAGTACATACTCCCCTTTGGGAGCCTCCGATTTCCCAGGGCAAACTACCAGGTTATACTTTACAAGTGGTCCCACTGAGGGCAGCCAAATGGTGAGCCAGAGAGACAGGAATTCACACCTCGAGCTCCAAACTGAAGGGTTTAACTCTTCTGCTACTGCAGCTCCAGGCAGAATATAGGGATTTTAGCATTTATACAGTGCCTTGACGTGAAAAAATGATGACATTCAGACCACAACACCTCACTATTTCCAACCACGTGGCAAGCAAATGGCCAGTTTCTGATCAGCATAAGAAAAACAAAAAGACATCTGAGCTTGCCAAGTTTTAGGTATCACCAATATGTCCCTCCCCTGTAGTCTCCTTCCCGTAGAGGGGAAAAACTATTCCCAAGAATAATAACTGGTAGAAAAGAAAAGGAATAAAAAGAAAAATTTCCATTAAAAAAGAAATTAATTCAGGGAAACTCATTCATTCATTCAATGTGAGATGTAGATTACAATTCAGTTGCCAAAAGATTACCTACTCAAAATTCACCATTTCACATTTTGCATAATGATATATTCACAAAGTTGTTCTGTTGCTCATTATTCCTGAATTGCTTATCTACTCTGTTTTCAAAAGTGACATTATACTGTCTTGCAGTCAACTCTGACCAATTATTTAGCACATTTAAGAAAGCAGAACCTGCACCAAACCAAGCACTAAACCAGGAGGGTATCACTTGCTGCAAACCCAGAACAATTTCCAAATGTCATTCAAGCTGAATATAGTCCTCTTCATTAATCCTCTGACATTTGTCAAATAGGAAATTCTAACTAAAATAAATTCTAAAGACCTGTATCAAGTGACTTTTAACTAAAAGGAAATTTAAGTAGAGATAGGAAACGATCAGCAACTCTTGACAAGCTTTTGGATATTTCAAAATAAAAGCATAAAGAACCTCATTAAGTCTGAATTCTGAAATGCTTTTTTATCTTCCCTAAAAAATATGGAACTTCTCCCATTTACAGATGCTGCCCTGCTTCTGTAAAATATGTGTAGCCTTCAAAACCCAAGAGAGCAGACTCGCTGAGGACACTGCACATCCAGCCACACTCAGACACCCAAACAAGCCATAGCACTAAATATAGGTCTCCCCTCATCCACTGCAACAGCTTATACAAAAAAGGCTTTAACAGGCAGCTCTCCCAGTACATTTGCTGAATGCCTACATATATTCTTGTTACTTACCACAGTTATTGATTAAATACTTGTTTCCTAGAATAGGCTTTTTATGTAAATAAATTCATATATTCTTAAATGATATCACAGATGTCCACAAAATCCTAATTATATAAAACTCATAGCATCGTAATTACACACTGATCAAGTAATTATGTACTGAGCTCAAACACTTAAGTATTTTGGAGCAACATTAGGTTTCCCATTTTGTTTTACTTAAACAAGACAGCAAGGATCTGACCACCATCACATTAGAGATGATGACCAGATTATGGGAAAAAAAAAAAAAATCCATGGCAGTATTCTGCAAAGCTATAAAAAATTAATAGCTATTATCAATGGACATTATTAAAACTAGAACATCCAAGGGAAAACAGTCTCATAAAAATAATCATTACCATATAAACCTATAAGAACATGTTCCACAACTAGCACGAATTCATTAAAGCAAAACAGTGTGAGAAAAATCATTGAATAATGCAGCTGAACCAAATTCTTCTCTTTGATTTGTTAGGATAAAGCAAATTTCCATTGAGACTTCACCTCACCTGCAGCACCCAGACATGCCAGAAATATGGCACTTGAACACTTTCATCCTGTTATCACAAACAAATTAATCCATTTCCAGCTTGTATCTTGCCAAAGGTGTTAGAGGGAGTGTAATGGTTTTTTGAAATGAGAGAAATGCACAGTCTGTAATCTCAAACCTATTTCTTCCAAGTTAGAACAATTAATTCATGGCATCTTTTAAGCAACCTGATATCAAGAAATGCCGTAAATCATATTTTGATTAAAGGACAAATATGGGTGTACAAAGGACTTGCCAACTCATAAATAGGACCAGCTGTGAATCATGGCCTCATTTTCTCCTTCAGTAATTTGACTTCTCTGCTACCCCAAGAAGAGTGCGAGATCCCAAATATGAGACTCAATACTTCAGTTTAATTTTGGACACCATTCTCTTTTCTTCCTAAAGATACATGACCTTAATTACAACCCACGGTTGCATCAACTATAGCAGTCTTATTTCACCTGCTATCAAATTTATTATTGTAATGCTGCCACTTCACATTTCCTTTTGCTCTTTTGAAAGGTTTGCATTCTTTTCAAAGGTTATGTATAGAATATTTGCATTCTTAGACTAATTCTTTCACAGGCCATGGACTTCCATGCTGACTTGTCCCAAGATGCATCAACGTCGTCCACATAAAAAATATCAACATCAGGAAATACATGCAACGTAGAGTACAAGCAACGTAGATTCTTGCAAATGCAGTCTATCAGAAGTGAGAAATGGTTAAAAGTAAGGCATAAGTTTTTCAGCCTAATTTTTCCACCAGTTCCTAGTAGCACTTGCATATCCACGGAAATGAACTACTGCCTGGCTAACCTGAGGGTGTTAAGCTGAGTAGATCAATGCTAGCAGTAACTTGCCAAGATGAACCTTTGCTCTAAGCAAGTAGGAATGGCTATCACTGGCACTGTAACCAAGTAAACAAAACTACAACAAAGGAAGACTGGATAAAACAGGATCAAGAGCTGCACAGGTGAAAGCAACAAGGACAAAAATAAAAAGTTATTATAGTGGACCTAAGCTCTTACACAGAGCCATGTATCTGGGAATCATCAACCATTCAGTATTTAGAGAGCAGATGGCTGGAAGGTCCCCATATGTGAAAAACATATTAGCAGGAAGAGTCAATAGTAACAGTAGAATATAACCTGACACTAAGACTTTTATATGAACCATTCTTAAAGAGAAAAATATAGACGGACCCTTGTCAAAAGCCTGAAGATTGAAGGATTCCAGAGAAAAAAAAAAAAAAGCAGTATCAGAAAAGCTTTTGAAACTAATCAATAATAAAAAAGAACAGTTCTCAACTGACTTTAACAGTAATCTGATTTTGATACTTAATTGCTACTTACCAGTCTGTGAATTAGCCCCAAAGCTAAACAGCATTTAATCGTGTTTAATCACCCTGTTGTAAAGGCACATTACCCAATACCCGCCCTCAAATAACAAACATGTATTTAAAATTATATTGATGACAATGGTATTAAAATGTTAAGAGACTGCTCCCTGGCCACTGCCCTTCACCTCACTGCAAGTGCAGCCTTGATGAGCACCATATTAAGAATTTTCCCTAAGTGCTTCCCAATGTGCAGGGAAAGCAGCAGGGACACTGGGCAAGCACCTCTCATCGCAGCAGCGCACAGTAAGTACAGACACATGCTACATCCCTTACTTTCACTGACAACTTGATTTCCACTCCACACATGGGATATATGTTACTGCCCATTAGAGGGACAGATGCCTAAAATAGTTCAACTTCACATTTTCTGGTTACTCTTACAAGAGCTGGCCAGCAAGCGCAATCTTCCTCTGAAATAACAGTCTAGATCCAGGGGCTATTGCATTACCACCTGATGAGTAACTGAAATTTGACCGGCTACATCCACACTGCAGCATGCGAACTTCAAAACCAGCCCTCTGATGGCTATGCTGGCTCAAGTTTTAAGTAGGTGCCTCCAAGTTCCAGTTTCATAACTGCACACACAAAGATCTCTAGCTTGGTTTAGCCTTGGCCTGTGACTGCCTCACTAGGTGAAGTTTCCTCCTAGTGACTAATCTGAAGGTTTCCACTGGGGCCACTGATGGCCAAGCATGTTCCACTGTAGCACAACATGGAGGAAGAGCTAATCCTGCAGGAAGAATACACCAGTTAAGCTCTCAAACACTTTAATAGAGACTGAGCTGGTTTGAAGTTGCTTCAGTTTACAAACTCTTGTACCCCACATTTAAGCCTGCTAACAACAGGCTTGATTTTACTCATTATTCTTTGTAGTCACCGTGTTGGGAGACAGAGACTTCAACCTGCTGGCTTCTCTAAAAACTAATGTGGATTTACAGAGTGCAGTCCCCACAGTTCTAGGCAGGGCTTTTTTAGGACACTCTACGCCAGTTTACTTTTAAGTTGGTTTTCTTGACATCAGCCATGCCTGGGAGGGTTCTTTTCCTGCATGGTACAAGCTGCACATGTACTTGGAAGCGAGCACAAGGTACAACCAGGAATTTACATGCACACACAGGTAGAAAGGTTCCCATTCCTTAATTCACTTTATCTTTCTTAAGTTCATAAATGGTCACACAAACACCAAACGGTTAGTAAGTCCTAGCCGATACCTCTCCTTACCTCCACTGAAAAGGATGGCTGTAGCACGGACTAGATGGATTGCTGTGGGGTTGTGAGTTCAGGTAAAATACTAGAGGAGAAGTAACAAGTGCACAGTCAGCACTAAATGGGAATTTAAGGTGCTGCAGACCTGGAGCAGACGTAGGGGAGAACATGTGCTGATGAACATCAGTTCCTCGGCAGTGGGAGTACAAAGGAGAGGAGATTCTGACAAGGTACCGCAGTAGGAAAAAAAACATAAATCAGGGTCAATATCACATCTTCTGTTTCAATTCAAAAAAAAGCGAGATACTTCCAAAATATAAGTTACATCTTCTTAACAAATGCAATAAACTAAGTGACCAAAAGTAATCTTTCTGATTATCATCCAAACCAAAACGTATTTTTCAGCCAATTTAGTATGTATTCAACATTATTTTTCCACTATGAAAATGGTCCAAGCTGGAATTAGCCAAATCCTTTTTTTTTGTACTGATTCCCAGGCTTTCTGGAATACACATCATTTAATGTAAATCCTTAATGTAAAACCTTTAATTGAGGAAAAAATAACAAATTGATAATGGCAACCCATACAGACACTGACCATTTATACCACAGCCTTCACAATTTGGGAGCCATGGTTCCAAGCCACACTGTGGCAACAATAGAAGTATGCCACTGTGAAAACACGAATTACCAAACCATTAACTAGGAAATAACGGTTAGCACTGACAGTGTTTTAGAACAACTAAGTAAGCCTGAAAGCAGCGCTGCAAAATAGCTTTATCCTCATTTTAGCAATGGGGACACTGAGGCACAAAGCAGTCAAGTGACTTGTCCACAGCACGTCCATTGCACTGTCCGGATTACAGCTGAGGACACTGATCCCCAGCTCTGTGCTTGGTTCTGTGCACTATAGTGCGTTGCAGGGTTAGCAGCCAACAAGCATCCATATACACAGAGAGCACAGAAAATATCCCAAAGTAGCTGCTTTCCAAAAAGCTGCAAACAGACTTTAACATGAACACAAAAATGAGGTTCTAACACCTACTTTATTGAGCTATACACGATGAGATGTCCTTCACTAGAAATAAAGTAAAAGTTAATACACAAATACTGGTACTGTAAAGTGTGCTTATGTATTTGAAACTTGTTACACTAGTTTCAAACTAGTTACAAACTAGTGCCACTGTATTCTTACAACTCTAACTCTGATTTTGACTGAGGGCTGAAAAAAGTTTCTATTTACTATATTTAAACATAAAAGTGAGCAAAAGAGACAGCTGGGGAGTGCTTCAGCTTTTGTTTAGCATTTTACACTGAAAGTCCTGAAGTTAAGCACATTTGTCAGCGTTCCTTGCTTTAAATTTCCTAATGAATCCAAATACTCATCAGCAAGTAACCTCTGGATATTGGACATCCTCTCCACCAGCAATCTCTGCTTAAACAGAGTCCATACCCAGGAAAGGTTAAGCCTGCCTCACACCCTGCTCCTCCCTTCACTAGATTCATTTAATCTCCTCTACTTATAAACTTAGTATTAAATATACAATTTCCTTAATTTTACCTAATGGAAATAATAAATCTAATTACAAATTTCATAAATAGCAGTTTTCATTAGTAGATTTCAAAGCATTTTAGAAGGACACAAGCACTAAAAAGTAACTGCTTGTTTAAAGTTCGTTTGTAGAAATACATGTGGCAATGTAAGTAAAGATTATTTGCTCCAAATCTAAGAGTTTCCAATAACATTCTTAAAAGATAGGAAAGGTAACAAAGCCTGGAGATTTGAGCTCGTGATAGCTTCCTGGCAGATTATTAAAAGTACTTTTTAAATCTGACAAGTGATAAAACGAGAAAGACAGTTACTATATTCATTCATGTTTGGTACAAAGCCTAACCACAATGTACCCCATTTAAAAACACCCAAATATTGCTCTGTTCTGGCTGTACTTTGCGGTAAATGTTGAACAAAGAGTAAAACAGTAAAGCTTCCAACTGAAATTTCGTGTACAGCCAAAATAAGCACCACAGATAAGGAAACTTCTAACAAACAGAAAATTCTGACTTGTTCTTCTTCATAGTTTCAATTTGAAACATTTAGGTGAAATTTATTTTTCACAACAGTCCTTACTGGATCCGCAGAGATGGGGCTCCAAGCCTCTGTTTCCTCCGTTTCATCATTGTGCTGATACACTATGTTTCTTCCCAGCGTGTAAGAGGCTTAGAGCCAGGAAGGAGAACCCACCGTTATCACTCCAACACAGAGCACAGAACAATCAGTGCAGTTCCAAGCTCTTCGTATACCCCCAACGTCAGAGAGAGCTCAGGAGTTCAGTAATGGTCCGGATTAATCACACAGCTCATATCAAAAACCTAACTATTGTAAAAGAAAAATAACAGAAAAATCTTCTACAAGTCTATCTGTAGCATCCAAGGAAAGGAAACGAAGCCCACGAGTACGACAGGAAGGCACAGAAGAGTCCAAGACACAAACTGGCCATCTGACCTGTCACACAGCCAGTGATACAGCCCAGACCCACCCTGGCTGAGCCCACAGCAAATCAGCGACAAACTTCTCCTGGGCTTCAAGGAGCAGGAACAGTGGTTCGCACCAAATCAAAAGGAAAGCATAAAGCCAAAGGGAGCGATGGCACACTTGAAAGGATTCTGGCAGAAATCTCACATAGCAGCTTGAAAACTCACACTGCGATAGGAATAGAGTCGCTGCTCCCCGCCAAAGCCCTTGCAGAGTCATCAGCGGTGCAAAGAGCAGCTGTTCCCGACCGGCAGGAACACGTGAACCAGCCCTTCTTCAGTAATCAATCCCCTTAGGAACACACACAACTTGAGCCTTAAACATCTTCCTGTAACTTCAGAGCTGTGCTTCTGCTACAAACTTTATGGATTCTCCCACTGAAAACAGCAACAGCAATTGCAGCAGCCTGGGGAGCCAAATGCTGAAGGAAGGAGGAGGGAGGGGGGGGGGACACCTTCATTAGGAGACAACACTCTTGTACAGTGCAAGTCTTGCACTTCTGTTAGCAAATGGTAATTTCAATCAGTTTCAAGTAATTTCAATCAGTTTCAGCTATTAATGAACAGCTCCAAAATAATGCCCAACACTTTTGAAATGTGTATTTCCAAGAAGGTAGCTTCCCCCAAAAAAATTTCCTCATATATTTATTTGATAGACTTTAAAGTGTTGAAGACTCTAGGCTGGTAGAGACTGCTATTCTCATGAGCAAGTACTCATCAACCAAGTAAATTCCAGATTACAACTCCAGATATATCTTCTGATTCTTTCCTGGATGATGTATCTTCGTTGTCTTCATCCCTGGAGGATACAACCTGGAAGGTATATATCTTCAGATTCTCCCCCGATTCAAACAACAGGAGTGCCCCAAACTACAAGATCCCAACCTCTCAAAATCTATGTCCCATCAGGAGAAGAACCTGCCAGTCCCAAAAGTAAGGGCCAGGGTGCCCAGGTTGGCTGTTCCTTAAACAACCAGAGCCCCTAAACTCTGCCCCCCAACCCCATGCCATGCTTCCAGAGTAAGAAAGCACAGCAAGCCACAAAAGGTACAAATCTGTTATGTCATGTACAGTTCTACTATACTTGTTCAATGTGAACCTGGATTAAGTAGTGGAAACTTGATAATAAAAACAGCAAAAAAAGACTTTTCTTACTTTTAAGTCACTGATAAAAACCTCCATAAATTCTTGGTCTTTGAGATGACGCTATACACAGAACACTAAAATCCCCCTTATTCACTATATCACTTTTTTAATGGAAACAATGCTTTCACATTATTTTTAAAGCCTAATATACAAATAGCAACACTCCTACGGAGACCTGCAGGAGTAATTCGGCACGTTCCACCCCCAGAGCCAGCCCCACATATCAGTTTAAGAATGCCTGGTTATTTTTGATCTACTTGCTTGTGGGCTGCTTCTACGCAGCTCAGAAAAGGATGGGGTGGTTAGCAAACACCACCGCTTTCTCTCCCCATCCATACAAAGTTTCACAAGCAGAAAGCACTGAAGAGACGCATTATTTCTTACTCTGTTTCCAGATCCAAGACCGAACAGAGTGAGAAGGAAGCAAAACTCCCCATTCCTTTTTCAGAACTGCTTTTTTCTCCATTTCCAGCACACTGACTTCTCCACGCTTGAGGCACACCACTTGCTCCTGGCAGGGAAATGGCATCCAGCAGAAGCGCTTAGCCACCAAGGAGAACAGAAATGGAATGATATACTCCATTTCTCTGCAGATACAGAGGAAATTCCCACAGCACCTGAGCATGGCAAGACAAAGACATAAACCAGCACCAAAGGCCAGAATTCTTTTTTCCTGTCATCAAACCTGCTGTTGTTTCCAAGCTCTAAAATAAGACAAGTAGAAACTGGTATTCAGCATATCCTCCCAAAGGAATTCCTTGGAGTGTTTGTGTGTTATTTTACTGTCAAGAAACTGGGGGTAAGTTTTAACAAATTACGATGAAGGCTTGTTTAATGAAACAGCCTATGAAATGTCTAAGGCTGCAGAAACTAAGAACCTTCAGAGGTTTGTAAGTAGAGGGAAGGGCACAGGAGAGAGAGAAAGAGAGAAAACGAGCCCCACAATGGACATAAATTGCCTTAAAGAGAGATCAGAAGGAATAAAAACTACCATAAAAGCCTTGCTCGTCTTCAGCAAGCACTAGTAAGTTCCTTACCACATTTCATAAAGATAGACATAAAAATTTGAGATAAATACTATTTATCAGCACCCATCACCTTCAAAAGAGCAGTTGGTAATATCTGATTTATTTAAATGTGTATTTTACTGCACATATTCTGAATTATAATTATTTTTCATGTTTCTCATGTCCCTGTGTTCTTCCTCCATCCACACACAGACTTTAAAATTATATTTGGTACAGATGGTTGACAGCAGGAAAGAATTAACAAAGAATAACATGCATCCGAAATCAGAAACTGGTTTAGCCAATTTAGTTTGCTGTGGAAATTACTCTTCTCAAATTTAGATATACTGTAGGAGAGAAATCTTCTCTTCTTGAAAATTTTGTGTTTAGATAGTACAAAAATCACAGCGACCCAGGCTAGCAACCCTGCCTAGGAAACCATGTGGATGGCAAATATAAACCCACATTTCTCATAAGAATCTGAACAGGTCAATAGAGTTCATGCTATAAACAAGTGAATTTATTAAAAACGGGGTACTGAACAAGAAAGCAGACGGTTCAAACACAACCCCAACTCGATTTAGTGACTGCTGATTAGCTGGGGAGGCAATTGAGAGAAGACGGTGTTGCATCCTGCAGCCACAATGAAAACGTGCAGTTTACAGCCTGGTCTCTTGGATGCCGAGTTGGTGTTATACACATGAATGCACATGAGCACTTCATCAGGAGCCCCATCTTGCTGCGCAGATCCCACCTTTGTCCTTTCAAGTCTGGAATGTCTCCAGTGTGCTTCAAGTGCAGGTGCACATCAAAACCATTTGAAAGCTGCAGCCAGCTATACAAAAAACAATCTCTGTGCAAAGAGAGCACCAAAGAACAGAACTGGGTAATCACTGGAAATAATTAAACCACTTCCACTAATAGGATGGAGATCAAAGTTTGGGTCTATCACTTCACATTCACTATTTGAAATTAAAGAAAATATTCATTAATGTTAATTACTTTTTGTGAACAAAGCATGGGGAAAACATAACCAATACATTTATATGTATTATTTATCAAAGGAAAACTTTGAACTCTGATTACTGAACCACACCAGAGAGAGAAGATAACTCCTTGTTCTTGTTCTCATGTTTATATTATTCAACCCTTAGTAGCCTGCAACTCAGTTGAGTATACTTCCCTTTAGTGTATTAAATATAATCCCCCTAACAGAAACAGACTCACTTTAAGCACATTAACAACAAAATGATATCTAAATAATCGGGCATTCCTCTTAATGTCACCATGCATACAATTCCCCCATCTGTTTTATATGCCTGCTCACTCGGTGCTGATTATTTCACGATTAGACTACAAGATCTTCAAGGCCAAAGCCATCATTTACATTGTGCTTGTGCTCACTTCCTCTAATATGGAAGCAGAATTGCTAATGAACAGACTTTACAGGCTCCATTTCACCACCCCTTCTCTTCAGTCTCTACCCAAAACCTTCTTTAGGTGACAAAATTCCTCACGCTCTCCAGCCAGCCATCTAACTCCACTCTTTCCTCAGTGCAAACAAGCGTATCAACTGTTGTTATGCCTACAATCAATTCCTGCAGAAAAATAGCAACTACTAACACTGACCCAGGCAAATATGAAGCAATGAGAGTCAGGTGAAGAAAAAGAAGCATTGTCAGGAAGAGCTTGACCTTCTACATGTGGTGATGACAAATACCATAGCTAGTCCACAGTGTAAAACCTTTCTAACTCGACAATCAACCAAAGCAATCACCTAGCAAGCAGCAACAATCACGCCTTCATTCTTCTTCAGTCTGGATGGAAAATAATTATTTCCTCCCCAAATACAATGTTTAACAGTAGTAGATGCACCCAAGGTCCAGACTAGCACACAGACAAATGCTGCAGGGCTGTGTATTTCTACATAACGCAATTGGTACTGAACTGCTACAAAGGCTGGAGTTTGTGCAGAAAATGGATGCACCTCTTGAGGGTTTCTGGCTCCAAGCCAGGTACTGCATCCTTCTGTCAATTCCTGCTTCTGCTCCTGTCAGTGAACAAAAGTCAATGAATGACAGTCGATGAATCAGGGCTTAGCTACATCCATAACCAACCCTGCTCATTAGCTATGGAACAACAGCTTTTCAGAATAAAATTTGTTTTCAGAATTCAGTTTTGCTTCTGAGGTTCACTGTTCAGTTGATTCAAGCACAGGAAAAGCCTCCAGAAGAACCAAGAACTGCCTACAGTCTGTATGTAAGTGCACACCATTAGGCCAACCTTTCTGACAGAACAGTTAAACAAATTTCTACATGTGTGTATTTTTTACATATATACACACACATATTATAATTATTCCACTTTTTGACATAAATTCCTCTAATTCCTCATTCCAAGACTAACAGTGGATTTTTTCTAAATCAAGCAAGCACTCTGATACTGGGATATGCAAATCATGTACATCAGCTCCACAACACCCATATGCTTAACAGCACAGCATTAACACAAATATACAGAGGCCACCATGTACTATTGACTGCTTAAATAGTTAAACTTTTCAAACAACAAGAAATCACTTGGTAGACTTAACTATGTAATCTGTACTTCCAGAAACTGCACTCAAACAGTTACAAAACACAGGCAACTGACAGAAGACATTTCAATTCTTCATAGATTTTCAGCCTCACTAACAGCTGCAACCTGATGCTCAAAATTTATAGCCTGGATCTTCTTGACACAGGTTGCTAAATTTCTTCACATAATGATGTCTTAAAAGGCATTCACTTGTGGAAGAAAACTCAAGTGAAGTAATGAAAACTGAAGGTGTTACATCAATATAGAAATAAAACATTCAGTTACTTGGTTTAGTTACTACTAAATAAAGCATTTGAAGCTATTTGTATCTCAGATATTTGAAATGTGAGTACACGAATGGTTTTGTGTCATACCCACCTCCACGCTTGAACAAAGGAAGGGAATATCTCTGGCATCCTCAGTTTCAGTTCCAGAAGTTTTATACCAAAATGGGTAAGAGTTACATTAAACCAAAAACTTACTGATAACTCGCTGCTCCACCATTTGTTCTAAGAACCTTCGTGACCTTCAAATCATGAACACCACCCTTCGTAAAAACCTACCACATACAGTTAAGTCAGCCTTTAAGGCATGCTGGTTAAAATATAATAAGCAGCCCGTGTTTCATGTTCTTTAAATAATTCCCTGGCTGGTTCACCCCTGTCATATGAACGAAACAAAAAGGTCTGGTCATGCCCCATCTTAAAAAAAAGGCCTTTTGATCCCTTGTATTGTTCAGTCCTGAATCACTGGCACTACACAGCATTTTCTAAACACTGGTTCTTGTACAAAGAGGATAGCTTACATTGAACGACTGGAAATAATTTCTCATTAGAACCAGAAACCTGAGGAAGAAAGGTTACACGCTTCTGTCAGCTTCGTGTCTGTAGTCTACAAGCTTTGGGAAACAATTTAAAATCATAATGCAATAGCAGGCAGTACAAGAGCTTTCTCTTTTATATAATGCAATCAATAACACAATTTCTTCCACCATAAATCTGTAAGCACAGCAGAAGCTAAGCTGTCACAATACCACTGAAACACAAGATAGCTCACTAAATGTCCTTAAACATCATAAAGTATTGAAGAAATGCTTTTTTGCTTAAACCACACTTTTAAAAGCCTACTTTCCCCACCAATTGCCACGTTGTCGAAATATCTCCATTACAGTGACTGCTCCACAAACACCTGACCTCATGGCCCAGGAGCTACGTACTCAGACCTCTGTCAACAGACTGTTTGAAGAGCAGTCATCAAAGTTGTCCATATCACATAAATAATCAGTGACTTCTGTGGATTCGGTTCAGCGATGTCAGTGCAAGCAACACTCAACACCGCAGCTACTTCTGTATCAGGATCAGCTCAAGCTGGTAATTAGAAGTAAGCTTACACTACTACTGCTTTTCCTGCTACACTTAAGGAAATGAATAGAGGCTTCAAGCTAGCTGCTTCCAAGTGCCTGACAGATTCTTGAAAATGCTAACAGACAAAACAGAGTATCTGCCCATTTAAACGATTTCCACAACTGAACAGCTATATATGTTCAAAACAAACCAAGTGATGAATAAAGAATAATTCTACTTACAAGCTTCCTCTTCTGGGGAGGCTGAGCTCCTTCTGAAACAAAAACAAAGAATGGAAACCTTCAGTTAATTTCACTTGTTATTATGTATTACTCATTTATTTATCAGTAAAGGGCTGAAGCAAAATTAGTAGCAAGCTGGCCCTTCTGATCACATGCTCAGGGTATAGCTGGGCACAGAGTGAAAATGTGAGTCTGCACACTATATCACTGTAGTTCAGGGTATAAAAATAACTCATTTTGTCCGAATAATCATTGCCTTTGCAGTCTCAAAGTCCTAAGCAATCAACAGAGCAAAAATAACTGAAATTAAAGCCTAAACACAGATAAAGCAATAATTAGTTCTATTCTACATCCCTCATCAGCACTGTACCTGCACCCCTTCCAGAGCCCTGGTACCCAATATTCCAATCCTCTCACCAGAAGGAAAAATTAATGCCACAGAGGGGCTTTTGGTATTGCTTTTTTAAAATGTATACATTACTTTAATATTTAATTATTTTATTTATTTTAATAATATTAAATATAACAAGATTACACTAAATAAAATAATTAAATAACGTGGAACTAATTATTAATTTGTTTATTCTAGCTAGTTAACATATTATCACAAAATGAAATCCAAGGCTAATGAGATCAGCAACCACTTCAAAGCAGCGGTTTTCGCCCAAGCACCAAAAGCAGAGGAAGGCCGGAAATTTTACGGTTTTTGTTCAGTCGCACAGACCACGAGCACGCAGAAGGCACAGGCAGTGATGCGCACAGCACCGCGACACACCAACCCTCCCCGGGTTTGGGTTTCAACGTCCATCTCAGCACGTCGGTGCTTCCCCCATGCACCCATACATCCGCCCTGCGCTTCCGCACGGAGCCACTAGGTGGCAGCCGCCGCCCGCCAGCCGCCGCTGCCGATGCTTGCCCCACACTCAGCCCCGCCTGACACCGCCCCTCGGCCCCGCCCCTTGGGGCTGGCCCCGCCTCCTTTATCCCTGATCCCGCCCCCCGAACATTGAGAATAGTCAATAGAAGAACAAATCCATCATCTCCAGCGATCTCTTTTCCGTATTTAGTGATGGTGACGTGCTGACTGACATGACTAACAGTGTGAATGACAACCTGCCAATGATCTGTTAAGTCAGATACTGGTCATTGGCAAAGTTTTTCAAAGATACCAAGAAATTACAGCTACGAGAACTTACAAAAAACATTAAAGCATCATTAAATCCTACCCATGCTGGTTTTATTTTCAAATTCCCTACACTTTGAAATTTCCTTGCTGTTGAACAGCACTGAGCAAATTCCATGTGTGAATTCTCACAAGCCTGACAGCTTACAGCATCACGAAATAAATTCCTATCATCAGACAAACTTGTCAAGATCTAATCAAAACATTTCAAGTATGTAAGATAATAAATCATTAGCATCTATAACAGGTTGTGTGGTTTATAGTCTAGAAAGGTGCTTCTTCCACTCCCGTTTGTTGGAAAGAATTAGTTTCCAACTGTGAAGTCTAGGTAGCAGTGACAGCTTTTTGCCACTGCAAATGGATATATAGGTAAGATACAGTTATTATATATTACTCTCTTTGCATCTATATATATATGTATCTCTTACAGCATCTCCTCAGGTGTATTTAATTTATCATCTTTAAAGAATATCTGATATAACAAAGGTGCTTAGCAGTGGGTACTTTTTCAATTCAAACAGCATATTTCTGTTTATTCCAACACAGTCGGCCCCAAAACACTTCAGAATGGATGTAGAAAACTCTGGAATTTAATAGTACAGATGAAAAAGGAAAACAGTGACCTTTAAATCTCTATACCTTCTATTTTTTGAGCTTTTAGGATTCAGTTTTACAAGCTTTGCTCTAGTCATTAGGGCTGAAAAGCCACTGAAAAGCACAGGTCCGTTAACTGTGACTTACAGACATACACCACAGGAATCGTGGTCCAGTAACAGGAGTGGACAAACCTTTTCTGTTCCTCTACTACTGTACATTTGTTTTACTCGCACAATAATATTACCTTTAATACTTCCTATAATGCAGCTAATTCAGGATTCACTGTATGCAAGGTTAAAGAAGGACTCACTTGGGCTTTGTTCCTGAAATCATCCTTTGAAATCTGTGATCAACTGAGTTTCCACATCAGGAAGGAGAAAAGTGCTAGCAGGTGATATCTCGATACACCTGAAATATTATTCTATCCATGTAGCAATCGGTTTCATTCTGCACCTCCACCCTGACAAACACAGAGCAGCTCTGGAATCGATACCCAGCAGTTCGAATTTAATATCTTTGTGGTCTTGACAACAAAGAGTACAATCAAAGCAATCAATTTTTATACCTGTTGTTCCACTCCACTTCATCTTGTGTTAGCCTTAAAATCCCCTTGAAAAACCCCGTGAGCTGTACATCAAGTCCTACCCCAACTCCTGCAGCACTTTTCCTGTCCTAGGACAAACACCAGGCCTGCGCCCTATTCGCCCTTTTCCACCTTGCCACAGCATGGCTGGGAACAGCACTTCCTTATCATCCTCCAAACCAGGCCAGGAATGGTGGAGCCAGTACAAAAGCACTGGAGCTGGAAGCCACAATACTGTGAGCAGTGTAATTATAAGCTTTGCTTTTCCTGAATCATCAGTGTCTAAAAAAGCTACACCCCAGGGAAGAAGAAGAAAGAAAATGCCTTGAGACGGAAGCAAGGAAGGAGCAGACTGCAGACAGCACGGGTGACCTACTTCAGGGTACCTATTTGAGGATATCCACTGTCAGGAGAACACTGCACACCTCCAGGGAACACAGCAGACAACAAAAACGCTTCCCAGAGATAGGGATACACACACAGGGTGGAGACTCAGCTGGGTCTTAAGATGGCTTCACGCTTTAATGCGTGTGATGGGACCAAACAGGAGCTTACATCTAAAAATGCTGGGGCAATGTCAAAGCACTGATCAAATAATTATGGGAAACACTGACGTTCAATGGCATTTCACAAGTACCCTATAAAGGTAAAACGCCACTTAGAGTCAGTTTCATAGTAAACATTTTAGATAGCAAATGATGAAGGATGTGATGTTACGTGATTGGTTTTCACCAGCTCCAGAAAGGAGGTTGGTACTGTATATCCACATACCCTGAAAAAAGAAAACACATTTTAAGAGGTAAGGTTACTAATAAAAGAGTACTGCGCTGTGACTACTTGATCTGAAGCGCTATTTACAGGGTGCAGCTGAAATCCTCTAAGTAAATGTGCTAGTTTATCCTAAAGAACATTTTTCATTCAAGACCCCCCTTCTGATGAGAACAACACAAGAACATCCAAGATTCAGGCTGCCTCCTTCAGCAGCACATCTGCCTCCCGAGGCACTCATGTTGCCAGTACCTCTATATATTACCATTATTGCTTCAGCCAGCCTCCATGCCACCTGCTCTCCAGGTCAACATAACCCTCAAACGACAGGCTTACATTTATACTGGATTTATAGGAAGTAATAAATGGCATAAGAACATTTTAAAAGATTTTTGCACATTATTCATGCTTTCAGAAGCAGAAACTACTTCTTTCACAGATCCAAAAAAAATAAGAAGCGTATTAAATCTTGAAGTACTGAAGTGACATGAACAGACTGTTCTGAAAGTTAATTTTTTGTATCAGTTCCATATTTCAAGGCATAATTATTAACCATGCGACTTGATCTCTACATGACAAAAGAATCAGCAGATTTTCAGACAACTAGTTAAAAACTGAACCTTGGGAAAGAAACTCAGCATCGTGGAGTCTACACAAAGCTGGTTCAAACACCCTCCTTCAAAACGGCTCCTTGTATTTGTTTCCTTCGAATTTTATCATCTCAGACCACGCAGATATAAAATCAGTTGGACACTGTCACATGCTACGATTCAGGTTTCACAATAGGATTACATCCTCACTATCATTTCTGAGGGAGCAAGGAAGCTAGAAGACACACTGGTCATTTTAAGGATCACTTTTCTGTTTACATAATATATTGTTTAGCGCACAGATACTGAAAATGTATTCTATTGTCATCTTTCATGTACAGAAACTGCATCTGAAAACAGGAGTGTTTCAGGCAGCAGTAAGACTGCTGGCTTTTTGCCTACATATAGGCACACAGTATGAAATGGAAGTCTGGAAAACTATTTGTTCATTGACCTACAATACAGCCCGTATCTTTTAAATAGATAATGTTACATTATAAAAGTGTCAAGAAACCAGGAGCCCATCACTCAAATTCTGTCACTTTCTCTCAGTCTTGCAATTTGTCCTTGAATATGTAGCTGCACATATGGCACAGACCCACAGGCAAAGTTGGATGCTGGAGTCTGCACTGACGGCAGCTTAAACCTAGTCCTTTCATATTAAAGTGAGAACCATCGCTACACTCAGGCTGTTGCATATTTCTGCCAGAGCAGACAGCATGATTCCTGCGACTGCCTTTGACCTTGGCTCTCTTGCAAGGTAGCTCACTATCATACCAGGTGGGACAACAGACAAATATTTTTACAGCTGCAACAGTAAATACATCTCAGTTAATAAGTTAATATTTCACAGATGATGAAACTCCACTGACAGTCAGTGACCTGGTACCATGCACTCGTGTTTTACTACTTTCCCTTTGCTGGCTCTGTTTGGCTTTAGGGTATGCTACCAACCAGCAGGGGATTAATTAAATCTCTTTCTATACATAACCATTTGCATTACAGAAATGATATAATGAGGGTTGGAATCTCCAGTTCTGATGGAAAATACAACCTGGCCATGCAAGGACAAACTGTAATCCATCCATCAGATTAACAGGGAGGAATTTTTCATGGTGATTAAAAAAAAAGAACTACCCACCCCACATTAAGCTTCTCTTTCTCCTATCAGAATCTGTCAAGAAAAATAAATTTTCTTCTCTGGTTATTAAAAATGGTACTTCTTCATTTCTCTCTCCGGAAATTATCACATCTGAACTTGTTACCCAAACTCATCAGCAAAGGATTTTAAATACCACCACTAAAACCATA